ATTCTGTTCTTTACATGAATAAAACCTGTATGTGTGTGTGTATTCTGTTCTTTACATTATTAAAACCTGTATGTGTGTATTCTGTTCTTTACATGATTAAAACCTGTATGTGTGTGTGTATTCTGTTCTTAAACAATATTAAACAATATGAACTACAGTGTGACCAAATACCCGCCACATAAAATACAAATTGCATTAACTCTGTATATAGGTGTGGGCCAGAGTATTTATTCCATCTCCCTTAACAGACTATCATTCAGCATGGTATTACACATTTCGTGTCAGAATTATCAACTATTCATTGTACCCTACGTAGCTAACTTAGTGACAGTTCATGGTAGAGGATAGAAAATACCAGATACAATATATACGAAATACTGAAAAAAAATAAACATACATAACAGAGGTTATGCAAAAGCAATACGTAAGGTGTCCAATGAACAAAAGTATTTTCATTCTTCACAAGAACATCGCCTTGCACTCCAACTTCTCAGTCTTAGTTAGACTGATGTTGTCAATTCACAGACGTGTCTTGACTACAAGTATTTATGTAAAACATCTGATTTTTGGTGGACAAAATATTTGTACATTTTACAAAAAAGATGCCACATCTCAGATAAGTACACATTGTAAATTCTGAATTATAGTTAATATTCCTTGTCCAATACATTCAATTAAACTAACTAGGGGGGATGGAAGTTTGGATAAAAGTTGTTAATTAGTTATTTTGGCACCACACATTGCAGTATATTTTTCCCTGAAATTAAATTTTAACTTTTACTAGACACCTCATGCTAGTGAGGAAATTTCGTGTCAAAACTGCAGACAACACTATTAATCTGAATCATCTTTCTCTTATTCGTCATTTAGATCTAATTCATAAAAAAACACAACAGGTTCTTTCGACCATTTTTATCAACTATTACCAGTCTCTCAGGATTATATATTAAATCAAAGTCCCACCTGTCTCAAGGCCTGGAATACGTGTGGTATTAAATAATCTTTCATACTGCCAAGAGCATAAAGGCACAGTTTTTTGGACCATTATCTAAAAACAAACAAACATAAACAGGCAAATATTCAACAAAAAGTCATTATAATACAATATATTACAAAACAAAAACAATGAACAACTGTAAGTTTGTCTTGGAGGAGAGAAAAAATATGTCTTAGTTTTTTCTTGTAAACATTAATTATTTTAAGTAACAAATGAGGCATTAATATATTTTAGTCTAGTATACTAGCTCTATATATAAAAACACACCACAATTTGTATCAAATAAACCTACATTCTATGTTCAGATACATAAATAATGTTGTTTTTTTACTTACTTTTACTTAATTTTTACTTTTTTACTTCTAAAAATTTATATTACAGTTCATTAAAAACATACTTTCTAAATCATTGAAACTAAAAAGACATACTGGCTCTAACGTCTGATTGCTTATTTCTTTTCGAAACAGAAGTGCTGCATAGACTAAATTAGCTGCTCGAGCAGCTTGATTTCTGGTGGGATGAACAAGAAGAGCATCCTAGCAAAAAAAAGATAGTAAAAACAAAATCATCTGAATAATAAAACATAGATCCAAAAAACAAGTTTACTTTTAAGTTTTCGGCACTGAAACTTCTTCTATTATCATGATACTAGTCTAATGATTATTAAATTTTCTGATTAATAATTAAATTGAACATTATCGTTCTACTTTCTTAAACTATCACACTTAAATGCATTTAACAAAAAAATTTACACCAAGTTAAAGGTACACAAATCTTTTTGTTTATCATACAATAATCCACATGAATAATAAACCGACTAGATGCGTTTTTATCTTATAACTTTCAAATAACAGAACTTTAAAAATGGCTTAACCTAAAAGAACAATTTGAATTATTTTGGGATGTAATCAATCATTAGAGAAAATAATTATTTCTTACAGAACGTATCGATGTGATCTTACACGATATGATCACATTTACGTCTACTCACAATTCCGTAGAAGTTGCTGTTAATCATCAAAGAAGACCTTCCACGTAGATAAACATATTCTTCCCACCAATCTGTTACCTAGAAAAGATATAGATACAAGTTCTTGAAAAAAATAGAGAAAACAAAAAAACATCAGGTTTTGGAATTTTTGTTTTGTGGCTTTTTGCACAAAAAAAAATTCAACAGTTTAAGTCAAACAAATCTAACTTTAATCTTTAATTTATTTTCCAATCTGGAAAACAAAACTGGATCCAGTAACTTTAAAGATTGATTTTAAAAAAAGCAGAAACCATTCTCAGGATGGATTTGACATCAAACGAAACACACTAAGAAACAAAAATCTGGATGATCAAAGTGACCACAAAATCATTTCAATAACCAATAATCACAGCAAATTTAACTTTACGTATGATCAACCAATCAAACACTACCTAACTAAAGAAAGTATCCTGTTATGAAAAAATTAAAATTTATAGTTACAACATTTCATCAGTTTAAACTGGCATTATCACGTACAACAACTACCAAAAATGAACTCCTGATCTGGATAATATGAAAAACTGGTGGATGGACACATTGGTATTTAGTTGGTTGAGCTTAACAAGATTGTAGAACATAAAAATGTTATTGCAAATAGTCAAGCAATTAATGTTATTTTTCTATACATGAGGAATCTTGAGAGTAAAATCAACTGTAAATCAGCCAAATTAATACATAAAACTGTAGAAGGTTCGTTAATCCAAATGTTGCCAAACTTTAAATGCCACTGAAGGGTAATTTAAGCTGAACCCCCTTTCCGACATCATATGCCATTAACCCTTTCCCGACGGGCCACGGGTGACGGGCCACAGCATCGCATTTGTTTACTCACATTCAAAATTTTATTGAACT